GTCAGTGCCACAATAAATATAAACACACGCTTGGAAAGAAAAAAGTCAATTGATAAAGCTTTTCGTCCAACAGGAAATCAGCTCAAAGACAAAATGGAAGAATACAAGGCCCAAATCAACAAACGACTAAAACCAACTAAAGATCTGAGAAATATGAGAGTTATCAGGAAAAATCGTTAGCAGCAGTCAAGTAACAGCGCGAAGAGTATGTTCCATGGTAGCAAAAACTAACACGAAACTCAGCCAGAGCACAAACGCACTCCTAGCAGAACGTAGAAAAATGGACAGAGACTCAATAGGACACCGAGAACTAGACAAACAAGTAAAGAAAGCGATTAAAAAGGACGTAAGATCTCATAACACAAAGATCATACAAGAAGCCATCGAATACAACATGAATATGAAAGTCCTCTGATATCCAAAAAGAACAAAGGAAAATTTGCTCATATACAAAATGAAGAACCTACAAGGACAAGTCGTGACAGATAGGCAACATAGATAGCATCCCGGAGATTGATAGTGAAGAGCTGAGAATTGCACTGAAGCAGATGAAAAACAGAAACGATGAAGAATGGGGCAATAACTCTGGAGACAGCACTGATCCTTCTTAACAAATGTGTGGTGGAGGGAAAAATTTCCGACGCCTCAAGAAATGCCGAGGTAATAATTCTCTTCAAAAAAGGCGGCCGAACCAACATCAAAAACTATCGACCGATCAGTCTTTTGTCCGTTTTCTATAAGCTTACCAAAATCATAGCCAACCGCTCAACAAAAAGTTAGATTTCTACCAGTCAGTAGAACAGGCCGGGTTCCGAAGGGTCTGTCGTATAAAGGATCACATTCAAACGGTACGTACTCGTATTGAGAAGTGTACTAGGAGTAATTTAAAAATCTACCATAAAAAAGTTTTCCCCAAATATATCTTGACAGGTGTCAAATTTTAGAAAAATAAAATTGGTTTTGAGTAGAGCCTTCAAAACTACAATTCTTCGTCCATTTAACCTTTTGCTTAACTGCTATAGTTTCGAAGATCCCTGTACTAGTAATCAAAAAAAACTCACCATGCATATTAAGCTTGAATAATAATAATCGACTTTCCCATTTGGTTTGGAAGACTTTTCGAACATACAAGAAAAGTCACTCCATGTACTCATACAGCAAGTAACAGTCATAAATTAAAGTAATATGTTCATTAATTTTCCCATTTTAACAGAAATCAGCACGATTATCTACCACCAGCTAAATTAATTATTTAGTGGTGGCGCAATGCAAATTTTCGTGATAATAAAAGTTATCACTGCATGCCTAATGGCGTCTTCGATCGACTTCAGGGAGAAAACAAACACGCAAGAAGTGACTAATGCAGATTAGTGCTGCACTAATATTATGAAAATATTATTGCTCCCGTTGTCGTGATAAAACCTGTCAAGCGAAAAGACAATAGATGTGGGGTAATTTACCATGGCTACTTCAGAGCAAATTGCTTTGCACCAAATGGAAACTAAACTAGTATTTGGAGACTGCACATATCTGTTAATAAGCTGAGAGTGACTAGAAATAAAAATCGCTGAGAAAAGTTTATGTTTTTTGTAGATATACCTCATGGCTTATAAGAAGCGTATGGTATAATGGAATTATACCCTTAAAATTGAATTTGAAAGCAGTAGTAGAAATTTTTCCGAGTAAAAATGACCTATACAGAGTGTCCGGTAACCCCATCTTGTAATATAAAATAATTTTCTATACACACAGAGCCCCAAAGGGTTGGCAAGCGGTTTATTTTTTAGGTTCTGGCTTTTGAACCGTTCAGTGTAAATTAATGCAATTTTTATATTGCATGTTGGTGATAAAATGTCATTAATGCGAAGTCAGAGTCGTCAGGAACGGACTTGTTGCCATATTCGTTGGGCTAAGGTTTTTATAGATGTTATTTCACACAGCTCAAGACAAAATTCGTGAGTAACCTGTTCATTTTTGCTTAAAAATATACTCTTAATTTGTTTCTATAAAGTTTACTGATAGAAAAAAAATGAATTTTTGTGCAACACGTTACTGAAATAGTAAATCATATCGAGTGTTGCAATGAAACACAAGTAGTTTTTATTCCAATAACAGTTCGAATTGGGAGCAAAATTTCTTTACTGGGCCATACAATAGGCCCACCCTGACTTAGCCAACGGTTGCCAAAAGTATTTGAGAGGTGCTATTGAACCAAATTCCTAAAATGGGGCGGTGCCCCGTCCTGCATATACCACATCGGATTTCTAATTTTTAGAAGCACATTTTTACACTCATATTTTCAGTTTTGTTGCAAATCATTGGCACCAGAGTTCCAATAGTTCCTATCCACACACGCACTATGAACCTTTGCTGGCACTTTGTATTATCGTGCATTAATATGGCAATTTATTACATGACATGAGAATACCACTAAAATTTGGATGTTGCTATAAAAATTAATTCGCGTAATTGATTCGTGCTGGATGCTATCTGCTAGGGTCATAGCATGTACTTTTTAAATGTAGTGCGAACATACATGGGAATTCAAAATTGGAGTCATTGCCCTGGCGGTATTGTCTGGGGGTGTTTTGGGAGTACAGGACAAATAGTAAAAAGAAGTTCTGTCCGTTTATCGTGCATTCCTGGCAGCAGTCTGGGCTCACATTTTGAGCAACTTCTCGTATGCGGCTAATTAACTCCTGCTCAATTTGTACCGATGTTCGGAAGATCAGACAATTAATGTGTTATAGTGTCCTATATATTACATACATTGTAAGAATGAATCCCTTCCTCGGGAGAGTTATCAGGACAATTATCCGGTGCCTGGAAAAGAGTCAGTTGTTGTGCTCCGCGTTCTCCCGGAAGGCGCTACTATAATTATCGTCAATACCGGTTCATCTAGGTCTGAAACACGAGCATCTTAAGATCGTCTACTAACTGCGTCAATACCTGGAGCCTATTGTTCAGTGTCTGTTAATTTTTGAACCCGACAATTATCCGGTGCCTGGAAAAGTGTCAGTTGTTGTGCTCCGCGTTCTCCCGGAAGGCGCTACTGTAATTATCGTCAATACCCGTTCCTCTAGGTATGAAACACGAGCATCTTAAGATCGTCTACTAACTGTGTCAATACCTGGAGACTATTGTTCAGGGTCTGTTAATTTTTGAACCTTTTCTGGTTCTAACAGCTTCGCAAATTCAATGTTTGTGTATATTTTGTGAAAGGAGCTTCAAAGTAAGTCATAGTTTGACAAATGCTTGTTATTAGTGACAAAGCCTATCTAGTTGTATCTATCTGTTAATGACAAAAAACGTCATGGCCGCTTTGCTTTTTCATCAAAAAATTGAGGAAGAGAACTTTTCTAATATCGCCAATTTTTGTGATGTTAAGCAAAGATCGTAATTTTTATTTTCTAAGTATTCCAATAAGCTACCAATCAAAGATGGAACCATATAAAACTAATACTTAATAACAAAGTTGAAATTCGACCTTCAACGGTTAATATCTTCTATAAATTGTGTAAAAAAGTTTTTCAATATTCTTCGTACTCTTCAGTGAGAGCTCCAGGGTGAGCCCCTACCACTCCTTAAAAGAAATGACGCCACTTTTGAATCACCCTGTATACAGAAATTGAGCAATGAAAAGCTTTTGGCATCAGCAGAGCCGTCATGAGCTTTTTAGATAGGCAAGTGCGGATTTCGAAATGCTGCAACCTCAGGCACCCGCAGGTACCCCCAAAGTTCTCTTCTACAATTTTTTGATAAAAAGTCACAGCGGCAATGATGTTTTTGGTCATTAACAGATGGTTACAGGTAGATAGCCCTTGTCAATAAATACAATAACTTGTCAAACTGTGACTTACTTTGAATTTCTTTTCATGAATTTGCGGATATGCGATTAGTTCAGGAGAAATGCTACAGTAACATAGCAGAAGCTGAAGGAACTCACGACAACAAAGGGCCAAGAGAGTGGTTCCAGGAAGATGGTGGACAACAATCGATGTTCGGGTTCCAGGCACAGAGGAACAAGTATTGGACATAATCGAATCAGGTCCTTCCAGGGGAACTCAGAGCACAATAACTGACACTTTCGCAAGCACCAAATAAATATCAAGGAAGGGCTACATTCCTACCACGTTTGTACGATACACACAGCACGAGGAGATACAAATGGAGCAGAAGTTAATTAACTGAATACGAGAAGCTTCTTGATAAGAGTAGATAATAAGGATGTTACACAGGCACTAGCTTCTTTGGAGTTCACCTTTCAACCAATTCGAGGTTATGAGAACAGGTTGACATTTTGAAAGTACGTTCCGCAGTCAAAGAATCTTGTTGAATTTACCGTTTATCCTTGTCTATCTTATTGTCACTCTGTATAATTCCATGGTTACCGTAGTTTTAGGCAGATTACCTTGAAAAACATTGCTGCCGTATTTCTGATATAGTTTTTTGCAAATTTGTCAGTTTTTAATAACAATTAATTTATTTTACTATTTTTTCTGTACTCCTATAACAACACCTCCAGAGGAATGACGCCAATTTTGAATCACCCTGTATTTTTAATTGAATTGAAACCAACTGACTGAAATTACTATTAAAGACCAGCAAGTGGGCTGCTTTAATTTAAATTTATGATTATAAATCATTGCACTTTTTTGTATTGTGGAATTTAAGTGCAATTGAGAGCACCTTTAAAAATGTTACTAATATGATTAGATGTTAAGTTCATTTGCGATAAAAAGCGAATTAAATATCGGTTTGGTAAAAGTTTGCAACAAGACTTAAATTATAGTGTGTAAAAATATGAACAAACTGGATTATTATAAACAACACGGTATGTTGCCGTATTCTGGCTGCATTTTGCGAAAGAAGCCAATTCTTAATAAAATGTTATAATAAACTTGCAGTTTCTATTCCCAAACAGAATTCCAATGAAGCCTATCGCGGAGATCATTAGATCTAGACTAGCTGACGGAATAGCTAGCTATTAGTATATTTACCTGCCGTGGAAAAGCCAAGAACAGCAGGAGAAATCTGGGGTGCAGTAACTGAAAAGTAAAACAGAACGTTTGCGAAAAGCCAGTCGCGTGAAATTAGCGCCATCGAAGTAAAACTCGCGGCGAATTGCCAGCTGCATGTCGACTGATTTCAACCCGCTTTTGGTGTGATTCCTAAAATTTCTTGCAAAATCGCCTGCGCAAAATAACTGACCTATCCAATACCAAAGAATTTTCGCACCAAGTCTTTTTTGCATTAGCGGTATGTCTGAACCGTTAGCACTGCAATGTCAAATAAATTGTTCATCTTTTTTTTTATCAAATTGAAATCAAAATTCATCATATATCATCATATTGAGAATATGAGATCCGTTTAGCGAATTCTGTCGCAAAAAATACTTAATGATTTAATAATCTTGGATCTTAGTCTAATAAGTAAGTCTAATCTTAGTCTAATAATCTAAGTCCAGCACAAAATGTTGGATGTTTTCCTACGTTGCGATAATTTTGTGGGACGATTTAATTAAGAACAGTCGTTCTTAACTAAAAAATATGGAGCTCACATTTGGACTCATGATCTTGACATAGTTAATATATGTGATGTTGTTATCTATTAGGACATTACCTCAACATATATTCACACTTTGATCTGAAAATCAGATTATTTAAGCAGTTGTTGTTTCAAAAAATAGATGTCAGCTGTCCTGCAAGAGATTGTAAAATGCTGTTTAGTCATTAATCTAGTAAAGACATTCCGATATAAACACATAGGTAGGGCGCGAGTCTTTTGTTACTCCTGTAAATGTTAAAAATTGAAACATTATTTAAGTAACATAACATATTAGCAATTAATCTCAGGCTGTAACTATTTATAACAGAACCCTTGTTTTTTTTTAATTGTGTAAAATGTTGCCGCTTACTTGACATTTGATAATTTTGAACCTATAAACTAAAACTAATGTAGTAGCAGGAAATAAACAAAAATTTTTTTTAACCATAAACGTTTTTTGATATATTTATTTACTTGGTACAAATACTGTAATTATTGACATTTATAGCGTTAATATTCACTTGCAATAAACACGGTGATTCAAAATTTGTGTCATTCCTTTTATGTTGTAATAGGAGCTCACTTGGAGAGGACGAGAAAAATATTGAAAATATCGTTTCTAATATATTCTGCTAGTTACCGTGGCATTTCCCTAGAACTAATCTCATATCAGCAAATTCGTAAGCTCCTTTCACGAATTTGCTGATATGAGATTAGTTCTAGGGAAATGCCACGGTAACTAGCAGAATATATAAGAACTCACGCCAACAAAGAGCGAGAGACACAGATTCGCTACAGGAAGATAGTGAACGACAATAGTTGTTCGTGTTCCAGACAGAGAGGAACAAAAATTGGACATAATTGCAGCAAAGCCTTCGAGGGGTACACAGAACAACTGACACTTTCCCAGGCACCAAATAAATACCGAGGAATACAATACAGGACTATATTCCTACAACAAATGCAAGATACTCATAGCACAAGGACACATTAAAGCAAAGGCTTACTGAACACCGATACAAATTGAGCAGGAGTTAATTTACCGAATGCGAGAAGCTGCTTGATAAGAGTTTATAATAAGGTGATTACAGAGGCACTCACTTGCTTGGAGTTAATGACTCAAATGTATGTTTATTTGTAATACATCAATTCGAGGTTAGGAGGACAATAGTTGTCATTGCGAAAAAGTACGTTCCACATTCAACGAATCCTGTTGAATTTACCGTTTATCCTTGTCTATTTTATTCTCTTTCTGTACAATTCTATGGTTACCGGAGTTTCTAATAATTACAAGGCCACAGGTAGGTATTTATGTAATGTTAATTAGGCAGATTAGCTTGACAAACGATGTTGCCGTCTATCTGACGTTTTTTCTGTACTCCTAATACACCGCCGGACGATACGTCCAGAGGAATGACGCCAATTTTGAATCACTCTGTATATGAAATAATCGTGTAAAATTATTCATTAGGAGTGTTTTGGTTTTAATTAGTCATACACTTCTAAATTTAAAAACAAGGAACTTTCACTCCGTTTAACGTACGTAAATGCTACGTAGTGCGAAACTTAATGAGATCACTTGATGAATGCTGATACAGCGATGAGTGGGTGAAAACAAGATAATAGGCTGAGATTTACGAAAATAATTTATTATCACTTTAAAGGAGCTGTTCAACTAGTAAGTGAGCAGAGTTCGCGATTCTTGTAAAATTTATTTTGAAAAAAAAACTAAAATGTTTTATTTCTTGTTATGAGAATGCAAAAAGCTTATACCGCTAACATTTTCAAATATGACAACAACTGAAAATAACAGTTTGCATATAGGACTATTGAGTTGTAAAAATAACATTAACTAGTTTAATTGCAAGATGGTTGCTTTTCTTGAGAATTCGGTCCTGGCAGTGGTGAAAAAAATAAAAGCTTTTTTAAGCTACTAAGCTTTCGCAAAATTATTGTCGCCTTCCTCAGGGCTGGAAGAGTGATTACTCAAATTTCAATCAGATGTATTATGAAATGAAAGAGCATAGAAGTTATAAACTACAATTGCGAAATACTTACTGCTAATTGTTTCACCATAAGGAATCTTAATATGCGTGGTACTGTTTTTTAATTATTTGTTTTTTTCACCTGTCTATTAGATTGGCATAAGGAGAGCTCAGTTCTTCGATATCGGTTCTTTTGTTGATAGATTTATTTTCTATGGATATTTCTATCATTTCCAGGCAGATTCTGTTATAATAGCTAGATTCACTGCCCACCACTTTCGCTTCGTTGAAGTTCATTATGCGACCTAATTCCGGGCTGTGTTGTGCTAGTGCACTTGTTTTTTTCCCCAATCGGCAGTCACTTTTGTGTCTGGCGATTCTGTTATTGAGGATATTGCCTGTTTGCCCTATGTACACGCCATCACAGGCCGCCATACCCGGTATTCTGTAAACCACCCTCGATTGCCTAAATAAATCCTATTTATCTTTTAGACGGGTGTTACGATCCCCTATTGATGTAAATATTTCTGAAGCCAAGCTCCACTGAGGGTGTTTTGAAAAGTGTCACCATTTCGTTTGTTCGAAATTTCTGGTATATGAAGGAAAGAGAAATAAGATGTTAACTCTGTGTTATGAGTTATAAGATCGAAGGCATGTCTCTATTTGTGTCGTCTGTTGTCACTGATGTTTCAATAGAATTCAGTTTCCTGGTGGTATTATATTTCGGTCGATGGTACTTCGACAAGTGCTGAAAATTGCCTTATTGAGAAGCTTGATTGGGTAGGAATTGGACTTAAGTATGGTTCTTAATTTGATGAGATTTTTTTGCTAGTTTTCAACCCGTTCACTAGGTTGGATCACAGAATTTATTGAGGCTATAGAGTTGTGCTTAAAATCCACATATTTCCAGAACAAAAACAAGTTCTATTCACAGATATATGGAGTAGCAATGGGTTCTCCCATAGCAGCAACAATTGCAAATTTGGTAATGGAAAATTTGGAAGAACAAATAATATCTAAATTAAACTATAAGTGTGAATTTTTTAAACGATATGTGGATGACTGCGTAATGTGCCTGCCAAAAGACAAAATTCAATATACACTAGATAAGTTTAATGCCTTTCGTGACACCCTAAAGTTTACTCTGGAAGAAGATAAAGGAAATTCTATAAACTTTCTAGACCTAACAATTAATTATGATAACAACGGGGAAATCAAAACAAATTGGTGCACAAAGGAGGTATGGTCTGGTAGGTACCTGAATTATCATTCGTACGCTCCAATGAAATATAAAAAAGTGTAATAACGGCACTTACAGATAGAGCCATTAAATTGTCACATTGGGAGTATAGA